GCGATAGATGAGCGAGGATCGTGCATATGTATCTAATACCGCAGTACAAAATATATGAACTTCATATATTTCATTATATCTCATTTATCACTTTCACGGGTTTATTACGAATCAACTTAACAGCCTGCTCACAGTTGGCTTGTTACCTCAATTGGTAGAGCGCTGCACCAGTATCGCACAGGTCAGTGGTTCGAATCCCGTACAGGCCTGATTTTTTTTCAGGTCTGATTTTCGCTATTGCTTAAATAGGATTGTGCATATGTATCGCGAGGTTCATGCATATGTATGATCTTATATGTATCATATGTATGATACATATATACGATCGCGAGGATCGTGCATATGTATCTAATACCGGAGTACAAAATATATGAACTTCATATATTTCATTGTATCTCGTACAGTATTTTGTATAAAAAGAAAACAATTGGCGCCCCTCGAAGGATTGGCGGGAATCTTGAAAGAGAAAAACAAAGCGGAGAGGATGACAAATCTGGCAAGAGGTTGTCTCTTTTATAGGTGTAAGTGATAAATAATTCACTCTTAGAATCGAAGTTATACATGAAAAAGCATGCCTTTAACATTGTATGATTTGTTCAAGGAGAGACATCAAATGAGGCGGCTTGAACAGAGTGCTAAATGCTGCAACTAGGAAACTTTTTTTTTCACGATATTTTGCAGCAATTAAGCCGTGTTATTCTCTTTAGCGTTATATGCTTGAAGTTTAATTTTTGATGGCGAAGAAGGAGCTCTTGTCGGTGGTACGCAGCAAATGGAATTTAATAGATCAAGAAATTACTTTCCACAATGAAATTTTTATAAATTCTCGAAGGTAGCGTAAAATGGGCAAGGCGCTGAGAGCCTTATCGTAGCTGTAATTTAAGAGGAAAATAGTCTAACCAGCCATGTAGTACGAGATACACAAATACTTACTTATGTAGTTTATAAAAGCTTTGCTTAAGACTGGGTGGGCTCAGTTTATATTGTACATGTATGCCTCCTCTTATTTGCACCTAATAATGATAATCTTTCTTGAGATGACTTTTTCTCATAAAATATGGTTTTCAAAAAGGATCTCCAAAAAAAAAAATATATGCAAAATACAAAAAACAATTCGCACATTGAAATTAAAATATGAAGAAAAATATGTAAAGGAAACAAAACATTAACGTTAATTCATTTGGATGACAGATTTAAAAATTACATGGTATAAAATTCACAAATTTAAAAGATTACGTTTGAAAATATCAAGATTAACGGATTGCCTGATCGCTTGGCCAAGAGAGTTAAAATCCTTGAAAGCATGAAATGCTGTTTGTTGTTTATCCCAATTCCTCTTGACACTTGGGAGTCTGAGATTTAGCTTAGTCAGTTCTGGTATTCTAATCATGTTTAAAAGGGAGAGATGTACAGTAAGCGGTGTGAATGAATTAAAAAGGCCTACCTATTTTGCAGTTTTCATCGGTGACTGCACATTGAGAAGATCTTATTAGGAAGATGTAGTATACTGCTTTTTTTAGGAGTGGAAAAATTCACTTCTCTAGAGAAAATTATGGGGTTTGAACAAGGACCAGTATCAGTAACCAATAGACACTTCAGCGGTATCCTCCCTTGAAAAAAGTTTGAATTCTAATTTCTTGGATTAAGGGAAACAGAGTCTAGGCTAAATTAGTGTGTTTTAATGCTTCACTTTTTTAACTAGAAAATGTAATCCCTCTGGTGAATTGAGTTCATGTGAGCATTCTTGCGATACTTGATCACTTTTGCAATTTTTTCTTTGGACAGCTCAAAACACAGCTGTTACATATACAGTACCTGCAGGGCAGGTGTATGTGGATCATTTGTGGAAACAATAGACTTAATATTTGCAGGTATAAATATGTTTTATACCTGACTGACTGACTCATTTTATCCCAAGCTCTTAGGCTTAACTCCTTTTAAACAACCCTGTTCTCGCACCCTGAACTTGGCATGTCTCATAGCTGATAAAATATTAGCACAAGTGTTCCCAACCCCATGAGAACTGCCACAGCTTTTCTTAAATTGTCTTTTATGCATATCAGCTTTATACTTGCACACATAAATTTTCATTTTCTCCCTGATATCTTACAAGTGTGGCAAGCAGATAAATATAAAATGAGTGAGATAAAATTAGACAATCACTGTCTTTCAAAGCTGAAACTGTTCATTACAGCTGTTCTGATGGAAACCAGATCAATAGATCTGGGCTGAATGATTTTGACAATGTTTAACCCTCACAATATAAGAGTAGGAATGGAAGAAATATTTCAATGAAATAGCTTACTGCTTCATTTATAGAAAATTTTAGTTTGAAAGCAGGTCAAGGGTTTGTGGTTTCCCTCAAGGAAAAAGAATTTCAAAGTTCAAGGGTTAGACTTGCCCTCCAGAGAGCTCGTTTTACTAGTTTCATGTTTCTTGACAGGAGATTGCAGTTATTTACTTTTTGTGTTGTTACCTTAGGATTGACATCAATACTTGCAAAATTGAAATTAAAAAGAAATAAATCATTAATGAGTTCTTTCTAGAAGGATGCCTTTTGGCCATAGGAAAAAAAAAAAAAAAAACAAGTGCATGAATTCATGAAAAAATAATTGGTGTTTTTCGTGATTACTTTAGTTTTGGTTTTATTGTTTGACGCTCATTCGAAAAGCGGTCTATATGCGAGTTAATTATTTCTGTTAATAGTACTGCATTAATTTTATTTTTATTTTCAGGCGAACTAAAAAGCATTTTATTTATAAAAATAATTGATTTATATGCGTTGTTTGGTAGTAGATCACATACAATGTTTAAGTGTGGCAAGAAAACATGGCACCCAACACGCAGCCAGACACTGACATGATATGCTACTGACAGCAACATGGGATCTATTTGTTTGACAAGATTACAAAGTAAGATGTTGTTAATGGTGATGTTAACTACAACATATTCATCTGTCCTTTAATAGATCATACAATACTTGTATAAATCAGCTTGTCATTTAAAATTCAAAAGAGCATATTGTCATTTAAAATTCAAAAGAGCATAGTCATATTCAAAACAGCATATTCATTTAAAATTCGAAAGAGCATGCAGAAGTAGCCTCTGCCACAGTGTTCAAATTGCCTGTGTAATATGCAGTCCTGATGTAAAAAGACAAACAAACCAACATAAAACAATGAAAAAACAATAACATCAAAATGGACTTTTTTTCTATCTTGGGGGAAGGGTAGGGGGGGCAGAAAAAGAGATTTTTTGCCTTTATAAAGAAAAGGAATTATGAGTTTTTGAATGGTGTAAGATAACAAAATGGAAAAGGAGTGGCTGAACAGTGTTAAATTCAGTGTTCAACATCATTATAAAGAAGAGACGAACACAGGGGTAATTTCCAATATTTTAATGATTGTTTTTCTATGAAGATTGGTCAAGATCCTAATATTCTGTGCAGCCCTCTCAATATGTACATAATCATGTTATTAAAAACTGAAAGATATGATATTCGAGCAAACCTCGGTAACATGCTTTTGTCTCTACGAGCGAGTTTCAGTATGTGAACGAGATTTCTTTGCAAGATTTTTAGGATATGTCAGGTAAAGATATACATCTAGAAACTTAATTTTTTAGTGAGTGAGAAAGTTAACTCGGCTGGAACGATTAAAAGCGTTTCTCTGATTAAAAAATCATTGGCTTAACGTGAGCTCTGCTTCTAAGACTTTTAATTTATTTCACGTATTACATTTACATCACTGTCGCAAGATCTCCGTGACGAATTATCCTCATTATGGTAAATCACAATTTCCCACCCACATCACAAAGGTTTGCGGACGTTGTTAATTTCGCTCTTTTAAATTCGTTTCGCTGCGAGGCTGGGGGTGCAAAGAAAAACTCTTTATTTTCAGGGAAAAGACTTGGCTGCTGTACACTTAGACGAAATGTTTTTCTCGAGTTTTCAGGTGTTTAGCAGCTTACTAGAAATGATTACTTGCTAGCAAGCGTTTAATGCAATCGTTACGCGCCGCCTTTTAGCTATCGATTAATAAAAGGGAATGCATGCTGTAAATTTTTCCTGTTACATGATTTGTTTGTGACACAATAAGCTTAACGGCTAAAGTAATGTCTGAGAACGTTCGTAGTGTTTTCGTTCTTAAAGTTCTCCACTGCGTGGCCTCGTCATATCTTTTGTCTCATTTGAAGAAACTCGCCTTAAGTCCTTTACACGTGTGTCGTGTCAGTCATTCCGCTGAGAAAAGACTTCCTATCATTGTGATTCTTGTCGTCTGCCATGTAACCCTGGGGACTCCCACGTCTTGTCAAGTTAGCTTGGAAGAAACTCGTTAATGAGCTTTTTCTCCTCCTAGATGCGTAGTCTCCGCTTGAATCTTCGCAAGAAAAACACATAATCTTTCTAAAAGCCCGGCGGTATTCGACGTTGAAGTAGGCATAAATGACAGGGTTACAAGCGCTGTTTAGATTCGGTAATATGAAGAAGAACAGGTAATAGATTGCTTTTTGCACCTTAGGTGGAAAGTGATCCAGAAAGTCCTCATTGTAGTTAGAAATGGTGAACATAATGAAAAAGGGAGCCCAGCATACTGTGAATGTACCTAGTACAATGGCAAGTGTTTTGGTGGCTTTGAAGTCGCGAACGATGCTTCTTTGCTTGCGCCTGTCCTCTTTACTGCTCGAGCCCGCGATCATGTCCTTCATTTTGTTGAAATGCTTCAATGCTGTGCGGAAAATTAAACTGTAACTGACGATCAACACAGTGAGGGGCGACAGGAAAGCAACTATGATGGCCATAGTGTAAAATACTTTGTTGTCATTGGAGCAGAGGCCGTGCGGAACGTCTAATGTTACTCCTCTGGTTCCGGGCCATTTGATTATAGCAAACGTGGCCAATATGGGCGCATACAGCCACACGCCGCCTATAGCCAGTAACGAACGTTTTTTTGTCATATTTCTATGGTAACTGAAGGGTTTGGTTATTTTCAAGTATCTATCCACTGATATGACGGCTAAGTTAGCTATGGAGGCTGCGGTACACACCATGTCCATCCAGATCCAAAGATAACACAAGCTGAGATTCGATAAGACAGTCACATTCACCACAATTCGAAACGGCAGTCCCGCGAGCCCGTAAAACAAGTCACTCACAGCCAGCGACGCAATGAACCAGTTGGTCGGACTACGCAGCCGTTGGTCGATATAGATGGCTAAACATACTAGGGTGTTTCCCACCACTGTGAAGAACAATACGATCACGTAAAATGCCGTGAAAAGATTTTTCTGCAACTCGTTCTCTTGTCCAGTACTGTTTCCCGGTCCAGTTTCGTCATTTGTTGTGTTATTCATGTTGAAGTTAGCTTTCAACACCAAGGGGAGGTTGCTCACTCGGCTCTTCCAAACTGAAGCGACCAGTTGTTTGTGTTGAACTGAATCCTCAAAGTTAACTCACCCGCTTTTCTTGATATGTTTGGGTATTAATGCTCAACAACTGCTTTTGCACCTTTTACTTGGTCACAATCAATTGTGTTACACAGTTCAAATGCAGGTAATACCGTCAGTCTGATTTTCGTGTCCCTCTCCTGGACATTGAATTTAAAAGATATCCAGAATTACTTTGTTCAAGAAGAAACTTGACGCGACTGCAAAAAGTTAGTAATTCTGTGAAACTCGGTGATTCGTGTGATGAAACACCTGCTGCTTCTGGTGCAAATTGATGTTTTCTTCCTGTGGCCTGTCGGGTCTCCTGCCAGGAGAAGAAATAAAAAATCACAGACGTTTTGATTAAAAAAAAAAAATCGTCATAATTTAAAAGCAATAACCATCATGATTTCGTCACTTTCGATTTTAAAGATCCTAGCTCGGACATTCTTCTCCCAAAACTAAAATGTCTCTAAAAAGAAATCGCTTGTTCCCTTGAGGGTGCAGCGGCTTAATTTATTTATTTATTTATCCGATTAAAAAATGTCTTCTCGTGCGTTTAGATGAGCTAATTGTAGCGTGGGAAGGTCATTTCATGATTCAAACAAGGGCTCTTGTTTGTGACCTTTCTAGTTTCCCAGCGCCGTCATTTATACTGTTCAATTGCTTTGTCGTGAGGCTCTCGAAAGGGTGCTTTGAATATCAGCTGTCATCGTTTTTTATGGACCATTAGGTGTTAGTCATAAAAAAGAGTTTTATGGAAGAAATTCTGGGAGTCTTAGATCATCTGGAGGCGAGGACACTACTAACAGTTCAGATTTCAGCCACAGACTTTCCCTTCTTCAATGCGTCTTAATGACAAGAACAATAACGTGATAATAAAAAGAATAAATGAAGATAAAGAACATAAAGTACAGATATATCTCCGAGTGAGACGCCACTGACTGTGCATGTGGCGCAAGCTCGAAACTTTGACAGTTGTTTAGCCGCAGGGCTCTTATATACCTTTTACATTTCCCTTATCAGGATGTTTCTGCGGGAACATCAGCCTTTAATGAAACAGTACCAACAATAGTTTCCTGCTGATAAAGATTGAAATCTCAAATACATCTTGTTATAAAAGTGTCCGAACTTTTCTTCGAAATTTATTGTGTGCCAGTCAAACTTGCATTAGTTGAAGTAATAACAATAGATTTTAAACAGGTTTTAAAGCGATTACAAAAAATGGGTGTAAAAGGATATCAAAAGTTTGTAAGCGACGAAAATGGGTTTTCTATTGATGTAGCGTTCCACCTAAATTTTACTTTGATTTTTATTTTTCGTAAAGTTTAATAATTTTGCTCTCAATAATTCTTTTTTTTTTCTCAAAAGGCTTTGCGAATCTAACACAGAGGACTTGTACGGAATGCGTGTTTTTCGCATTTTCACTTGATGGTTCGTTTTCAAAAACGTGCCTCATTTTACTCGTGTTCAAAATCATAATTTCCTATTGATTTTCAGTGAATTTTAACCATTCCTTTATCAAATAATACTACCAAGCCATTACCAATCGAATAATTTAAATTTGACTTTGATGTCGTGATGCAAAATTTCTACTCCTCAACGAATTGTATCAGATTTTTGCACAAAAAGATTATTTCAAAGTGGTTGTGTTCCACTGATATACCTCTTTTTCAAATTCTTGCTGTAAGTTGTGGTAAAAGATATAATTTTATTGAGCATAGAGGCGCTATTTTCCAACTTCAAGTATTTTTTAACGATTGACTGATTTGCTTTAGCTTTGCTAGCGTACGGTTCCGAGAAATCTATCTAGTTGTTTGTTTTCATTAACAAGTCTCACAATTAGTTTTCTATGCCACGTTTTTTTTTTTCTATGTCATGGCGTAGATATCCACTTACAAAAGATGTTTAAAAATCTCATCTAGGCGTGGGTTATTGGATTTTCTATGCAAGCAAGATAAATATTTCTGTTCGAGATTTGTTATTTCTAAGGGAGGATATTTGTCGCGCTGCTTTTTGGTAAAGTTTTATTGAGAGAAATATTCAAGTTCCTATAAAAAGGTCGAAGGACCCGGGCAGTTGAAAATTCATCAGTGAAAAAACATCGAAGAGAGTGCTCGTACCCTTAAATGAATTATGCAAACTAATCACTCGTAAGGACAGTAAAAATAGTTTTTATGCCAATATTTACCTTATTCAATTCTTCAACCCTCGAATGTTTTTTCCTCTTGAGCGTTTAGAGAGTTGTTCTTGGGTGGGCGAATCCACTGATTGATGCCGGGCGGCAGATTTTGGATCACTCAGTTAACACGACTGGTGTTGAACTAGAGTGTTTTTAACATCAATTGCTAATTGTCTTTTGGTTTTTGCATCGATTGCTAAATGTCTTTTGTTTCGCATTGGAATAAATAAAGAATTGTTTCATTGTTTCTTCCAATTGAAAGCTTTATCACCTGTTTCTTTAGCCTACGGCTTAGCTTTGATACAAAATGATTCAATCCTGCTTAATCCAACAGATTTACGTCCTACTTCTTCCTGTCGTTGAGATTTCGCACTTTTCATTTCGCAGCGCCTTGTTTTAACGTACACTTAGCGAAACATCGGCAAAATACGAAGTAGATCAAACGGAGTTACATTGTGCAAAACAATCAAATTATGAAGGAAATACAAACTAAATGCGAAAATATGTGATTTGTATGGGACGGTGTTATAGGTTATCGCATATTAAGTACGTTTAGCGGGTTTTGTATGGCGGTCTTTCAAAGTATATTCGTTCATTGTAAGGATTTACTGCCCAAGATATTCAGAATAAATTAAGAAACTCTGATAGAGCGTCGCAACGGAAGAGTTTCCTCTCTTGTTCTGCTGCAAAAAGATTAAGCTTCTATCTTAACGCCAAAGAGCTTGTACCATTTTGAAATTTAAGTTTGACAAAATTTCCATAAGAGAGTATTTCTATAGAACTATCGTTGCTTTCTGTTAATCTGCTGATAAACAGATAGCTTTTCACCCGTGCATTATGATTATGCATGGATGTACATGACGTGATTAAGCAAACACAAACCTGGGAGAATCATCATAAAATTTACTTTCAAACATCCGTTCACATATAGAGTTATTTTTCTTTCGTGAAATCAAGAAATCAGAAACAGTTTACTAATCTAAAACACATCACTGAAAATTGCACGCAAAAAAAGAGCTACACTTCCCACACGACTTCGTTACAGTTTCAGGGCAAATAGGAGAATAACATCAAGTGATATGCAGAAGAGCTCGAGAAGTGTGCATTTGGGGCATTTTCGTTTACGTGAAGTTTTTAACATATTTAGCTTTTCTAAAACGATGACTGATTACATTGTTATCATGTACACGTTCACTGAAACATGGTTTTTCTATCAATTGCATTTTACTTTCTCTATTAATCACCACGAGGAGAACGAAAGCTGTGTTACGCAGTGACAACAGTGATTTTCTTTCACAATCTCCTTTCGTACTCGCGTACACACGTTTGGAAACAACTACATAATTGAGGAAGATTATTTGATCGATAAATATTGATTTCTGGCGCAGCGTCTCAACACTTGTGATATTCGTGTTTAACACGTTTTAAATTTTGAAATTTTGAAAAAAATAAACGATACAAACGTCGTACTCAGGCAATGATTGTATTATTACAAAGAAATGAATTTTGTTGTTTGGGCAGTCTGTACCTTGATTTTGCATCTGGTTTTCATCATTCACAATATCTCTATTTTTCTTTTCATTTTAAATGACTCGAGAAAAGGGAGTTTAAGTCAGGGAGCCGAGAGCGCGAAGTGATGAAAGCACAGCTACCCAATTTCTATTTTTGTTTGTCGCGTTCAGTCTCACGCGATGTGTTTGAAACGTTCAAATCATTGAAAGAGTAAAAAGAACGGGAAAGGACTGCGCATTTACGCACTCGGTGTGTGTGCCAATGCGACCTAAGCTCATCAACTGATTTCGATTTGTATCGTCCGTCGTTATTTTTCCCAATTTTCGTGTCATCAGTTTTAAATTGTTATTTTTTCATAATCATCCGTTTTTCCCGTCCTTCTGTACCGTTGTAAGCCCGCCACAGGAAATCGATAACGTTACCTTAACAATATACAAACTTTAGTAACCGATATTTGAGTTAGATGTATGATTCTCCAAACACCACTTTTTACATTCCAACTCGATAACACTTTAAAAACAGCAAACCAGACGAAAGAAGATTGAATTACCACCACGAGCCACTGAAGCTAGTCTTTACTGCGACTGAAAATGCGAGATAGGTGGTGTATTAACTTGAACATTCAAGCTGATAAGCTCTGTTGAAAGTATCATAGCCAAATCAGAAACCTGGAAAACCTGCCCTTGCTTTGCATGGATGTAACTGTTAATTCATTCTCTTTTTCATCATCTGTCATCATCGTCTCTAGTGTTTTTTCTCTTATCGTAATTTTTACTGCTAATTAAGCTAATATCCCGTCATGGTGCAATACTCCACGTGGCGATAAGTCCTTGTGTGGTTTCAGTTTGCTGTAACCGTGTAGTGGATTTTTTACCATGTAAAATCTTTTGTGGTGCTAAGAAAGTAATTGATGCCTTCGGGGCCTAATCTGCGTCTGATCTGTTTCCGACACATTTTATAAACTATTAGCGCTCTCATGCAAAAATCAACAACAGTATTTGGAAAAGCTGAGATATTTGCTTGCCTTTGTCGATTTCGTAGTCCTTATTCTTTGTAACAATTTTCCATAGTAATACAAACCACAAGTAAAATGATACGTACCACAGTAAGCAGGTTAGAAAATGTGGGGGAAAAATACAGTACACCTTGTCCTGGTCTGTTTATTTTAGGCATTATGTGATATACGTACCACAGTAAGCAGTTCAGAAAGTGCTGGAGGCAAAATACGGTACACGTTGTGCTGGTCTGTTTATTTTAGGCATAATGCGATATTGGTTTCACAATGATAAGAGCCGAAACACACCTCATTCCAGACAAAGATCCTTTTGAAGAGCTCTCATCTACGGCAATTATGGCTTTACATGTGGTTAGAGTGAATCAATTTTCAATTTTTATCAGGGAATAATCTGTCAAACAGAGTGAGTATAATGAGATAGTGTACAGCATTAGGAAACTGTTATTAGATGATTCAACATGTAGGCGTGCACGTCAGGTTTTGGCACCAGCAATATAACTCACGAGTATTTCCTTCGAAACGTTTTCTTATCTCCCAAAAATCCGTGTTAGAATCACGGAAATGTGAAATGTACTAATAAGTTCGCAGTGATACAAGAGACAGGAACGGCAAGCTGTACGTGAAATAAATAAAACAAGCATGTTTCCTTGAGTACCAGTATAAAAGGACTGAGTAGTTGAATTACGTTTTTATTTGTCAATATTGGCATTATTTCATTATTGTGCCACAAAGGAAATTAAAGAGCTGTCCTGAGAGTAGTGATCTTTCACCATTTTTCCATGTTCTTTGAATTATGAACACGCTAGTCGAAAGACGCTTTTTAAAGTCGGAATTCTGTTGCATATCGTTTGAAATGCGGCTTCAAACCTTAAAATCAGCTATTGTACCTCAGCCTCCTATGAGCAGTTGGCTTACTCCGATGGTCTACAGTTATACAAAATTTTAGCGGACTTATCCTCATTTGCATGTTGTTGTCTTTTAATATCAAAACGTTTTCGAATGGCTTTTTCGAAAGTCACACAGTCAATATATGTGTAAAGGGCTTTTTGTTCGCCGCTTTTGAATGTAATGGTGATAAAATGTCGAACGTTGACAACATTGCAAAAAACATTGTTTTGCTATTGACACAAAATGAAGACTATTTTGGAGTATACATGTGTTGTTTTTGAGTGAACGTAATATCAAATTCGTTGGATTTCTTTTCTTCTTTGTTCCAGGCACATGACCATACACACATAGCATAAACATTACACAAATTTAAAATAATCGTTACTGACATAAAATCATATTTACTGCAACATCTAGATTTTCCAAATAAGGAACAGATTGAGCTGAAAGAACTGTCTCTTTGGCTTCGGCTGGTGTTAGAATGTGGGAAGGTATCTGGTGGACCATACATTCGTTTGAAAGTGTTTCACATCACAGTTCTTGCAAGCATTCAAGGATTTTTTATACTTCTGTTCTGTAAATGTGAAAATGTGAATGGAAGGCAGTCATTGCCTAACACCACCCTTTTCATTTCAATAAAAAAAATATATATATTTTTTTTATTTTTTATTGTTATTTTTTTCATGAAACCTGAATGTATATTTGACATTTAACTCTCTAATCGGCAATTTTTTTTTTCACTGCGGGCGTCACCACCTGTTTCCTCTGGCAGGAAAAGGTGGAAGGAGAAATGACGATATACATGTACGGGCTTTATGTTTGTAGGCGGCTTTCGTAATTTTATGGAGTGCAACTTTGGTGGCCCTCCTGTGCGGCTACATTTGTAATGAGACAAAGCTGGGCTGTTGTCAGTCAAGATCCTAAACCATCTTCAACTAAGCCAAACCGTGTTTTTTCGCTGTGAATGTACCTTTTTGTGAACAACTTCAAAAGTTTCTTTTTAATCACAAGTAACTCGTGCTAAACAATTATGTAAAATGTCCAGTGTAAACTTCAGAACACTTACTTAAAGAGAACTATCGAGGTCTAATGAGTTTCTAAAACTGTAATTAGGGTTAGACTTCATTTTGATAACTGTGAATTATAATACCGTATATTAACACTGTATATACGTTTAACTCGTTAACAAAATATGTCTTGATCATTCTTAAGATTTTGGTTGAAGTAATTGTCATCTGTTCTTCTAAAGAATACTTGAAAATCATTTGCCGTGACGTATATCACCAGATGCCGGTCTTACAAAGAATGATTCAGCGATTCTGTACTCCTTCATCTTGTTTTTAATCTGAAGTATGTTTTCAAGGCTGAGTCATTTCTTTTGTTTTCAATTCGGTAAAAAAAAAAACAAAACAAAAAAAAACACATCAGTGGAAGCACCCTATTAGAAAAATTCGACAAACAAGTTAAACATAACTTTGGATGTTTCAACTTGGTAAATAACCAAAAAATGGTATGAATACAGAATGCTTCTTGTATCTTGAGGCAAATGCTCAATTTTTCAGAGGAAAGATGTTCTATTCATTCGTTATCGTAGGTGTATCCACAAGTTTCCTTCGTTTCGTTTTCCTCCACTTATATCTATTCATCGATTAAAACACCGTAAATATACGGGAATAGATTTTAAAAGCTTATCTAATCCTCCACACAACAAAGGTACTTAATGTTTAGCCTTATTGATAAATGTTTTTTGATGATTTTCGTCACGGTAGATGCTGATTGATTATAAAGATGGAAATTTTCATTTTCTTTTTGTTGCATTTGTATGTCGTATACGTCGTTCATTGGGTACTTTTTGTTGTTTGTATCGCTTGAGGTTTTCACATTTCATCTTACGAAACATGCAAAGTAAGACTCAGAATAAATAAACCCATGTCAATTGGCATTATTCGCAAAAAAATCTCAGGGTAGACAAGGCTTGAATGGTTCCGAGTAAGATTGCCCCGCTGCTGTTAATATTGATTGTTTTCCGCTGTGGTCTGTTTGTTTCATTGCGCAAGACAATTATGGCAACTATCATGATCTCAAAAAGCTCTCAGTTTAGATTCCTCTTTCATGACTAAGCTGAGTAGCCTACACTTAGATACACTTGGTATGACTTCATGAGATAAACAGATGAAACTCGTGTTATGCAGACGAAAGTATTCAATATTACAGAGACTCAAGTCCATACAATATCAATTATAGTGATATTGTAGAGTCCTGTTTAGTCATGAGAACAGAGTGGTAAATCGTCCCTGATGAACTTTGAGTCAATTTCTCAACCGACTCTTCGGAGAAAATGGATGCTTAACTTAGTTGCCCTTTTGTTTGCAAGAAGAGAAGTCGAGAATGGTTATACAACCGAAAAAAAGGGTATATGATGGATAAATTTTGGGTACGCGTTGCTGGATTTGCATGATTTTGGTCTGAAAAAGAGATCGAAATGGACAGTAACCAATAAAGTAAGACAAATTCAAAGGAGAAATGCAAAATAGAACGAAAAAGATTAAAGAAAAAATTACGGCAAAGTGCTATATAAGTATTAAAGAGCTCGTTTGCTTGAGCTAAGTCTGCAGTTTGAGAGTTACCATACCTGAAACGGTGTTAAAATCTACTTAATGTTTTGTCCAATAAAGCCGCATTCTCAGAGTACGTTTGTAAAATATATTTTTACTCAAACCTCAAGACGTTCGACGTAGGGGGTATGCTCATAATTTAAGGAGATGTTGGAACATGTAAAGGTGCGTCAGGTGACTCTGTAGATTTTCATATGTTTTTATATGAATGCTTTGAAGTTTGGAATCTCATTTTTGTTGGATCTTCAACGAAGGAAAGATGGCTCAGTTTACTTTTTTCTCATCTATATTTCCAGTGCCACTTTTGTTAGTGAAATTAAATTTTCAGTTTCGATTTAAC